TACTTGTAATTACTTTAACATTAATTCTTAATAAAAAGGATTAGAGAAGAAAGGGAAGAATAATTTGAACCTTTCTTCTTCCTCCTCTTTTCGCCATCTTCTTCTCTTGTACTGCTGCTCTTACTTTTCTTCTTCCTTTTTCTCTCTAATTTTCAAATTTACACCTAATTTTTGAGGACTGATTTACATCTAGACAAAAGGAAACAAAGCCACTTAGTTTGCTGGAGACATGTATCTAAGCCAAAGAAGGCTGGTGGATTGGGTAATAAGGTCACATCAAGGAAAGGAATGTTGCCCTACTTGGGAAATGGTTATGGAATCTTCAAAAAGGAGGATAGGGTACTGGTAGTGTGGACAAAAAGAATAAGGCATTGTTAGGGAAATTGCTTTGGAGGTGGCCGATGGAAAGGGATAGAGTGGCATGGAGTAATAGCCAACATACATGAAAGGTTGGGAAATGGTTGGAATGCAGGTGTATCCAATAGAGCTACTCTGGCCTCGCCTTGGAAAGCTATTTACAATATCCTACCTCACTTTCTCCGCTTCATCAGGTATGATGCTTGCTCTGGGATTTCTGTTAAATTTTGGGAGGATATTTGGCTCAGTTCTTGTCCGTTAATGGAACTTTTCCCCTCATTATACTCAGTTTCTTTGTACAAAAATGAGTCTGAGTCAAGGTTTGTTGTTTCCCCTCCAAATCCTATGGACCTCAGTTGGGACTTTGGATTTCATAGAGGTCTTAGGGACAATGAAATTTTGGCTTGTTCGGACCTTCTACAACTCCTTCAAAATGTTTGCTTGGAACTTGGTAAACCTGATAAGCGGATTTGGACCCCCAACCCTAAGGGTTTGTTCTCTTGTGCTTCTATGTTCAAGACCTTTTGTGATTCTTCAGTTTCTTCCTTTCCCATCAAAGAGTTTTGGTGTAGACCCATTCCAACCAAGGTAACCTCCTGTTGGGAAGTAGTTCATGGGAAGCTAAATACTATGGACTTGCTTCAGGAGAAAAGACCTAACTCCTGCTTCTCCCTGAACTGGTGTGTCTTATGCAAATCCAATAATGAGAGTTGTTGCCACTTACTGATTTCTTACCCCTTTGTTGCAGATTTTTGGCTTTGGTTTTCTTCTTTGTTAGGGTGCAGGTGGACATTACCTACATAGGTTACTATGTTATTTGACCCCTGAAATGCAAGAATCTTCTTAGAGAAGGAGAGAAGCAAGGAAGAAATCAGGATTTGTGTGATGGTTAGAGTGAACCACTGGATAAAGACTCTGGAGTTGCTCTGCCAGTTCTCCTTCGACGAAATTTGGAGGAATTGGGAAATAATTGCTAAAAGTTCTAAGGGGAAGGCTAGAGTGGAGGTGGCCTGGACACCACCGATTGAATGTTTTGCTAAACTGAATTTTGACGGGAGTTGCCGAGGTAATCCAGGCCCTTCCGCCCTAGTGGAATTGGAGGGGTGGTGAGAGATGGAGAAGGTAAACTTATAGCACTGTTTTCTGGTCCTGTGGGTATGGGGGACTCTGTCAAAGCTGAACTGCTTGCTGCAATTCAAGGGGTGCAGATAGTTAGTGAGCTAAACTTGAAAAATGTGGTGATAGAAGGGGATTTGAAACTGGTGGTAAAATGGCTAAGGAATCCTGAGTCTATAACTTGGTGTTACAGGGGTGAAATGAACAAATTTACTTGGCTAACCAGGAATATGAATTTAAGCATACAATGGGTGAGAAGATCAGCAAATGGGATGGCGGATGCTTTGGCTAAACAAGGGGTGAACAGGTTTAGTTTATTCAGGGCACGGTTGTAATATGTTTTTCTTAGTATGAGAGGTAGCAGCTCGTACCTCTCTAAAGGATGATTGTAAAGTCTTTACATTAAAAATTTTAATAAAATTCTAATTATTCATCAAAAAAATATAACATCTAATTCCTATTTTGATTAGGAAAACCACCAAGGACTCAAAATTATCAGAAAACAACTACTAGAAGATTTACAAAAACAACCATACTACTGTAAATACATAAAAAATCAGAAAAATCCAGATTTGACACTTCAGCTCCTAAATCTCCTTCTACTTCAATACCTGAGATGTCTATGGAATGCAAGATCCTTAAGCCATGGAATGAAAACAATATTTTTGCTTCCATTTATGTCCCATTACCAAATACCAACAGACCCTGAATAAGTGTGGTTGATATCCCACCGCAGGTTTCTGTTTATTTAGGCCCCTATTGGAAATTTGGAATCAACCATTTGGTTGAGCTAAGAGGACCCTCTACCTAAGTATAAGTGAAGGGGGCCAAAGGTACACAGTTTAAAGGTGACAAACACTAATTGTAAAAGTACAAAGCAATCTTACTGCTCAAATCTAGTGCAAGGAGCTGCCCAAATAGGTTTTGTCTCCCAACTCTACCCCCAGTACAGGAATCAGCAAGATCTGCTGATCTAGGCACCCAACTGAATGAGCTGTTCACAAAAAGTGCCAAAGGTGTTGCCTCTCTAATCCGATGCCTGAGCATCCAAGGGCCATCTATGTCAGCCACAGTCATCAGATCACAATTCACAACCTGACAGTCCCCCTCAACAATCAAATCAATCCAAACCATTGAGTAAGCTAGCTTTGGACTCTGGAGTCTGGAGCACCAAAATTTCTACTCTCAGTAAATTTCCAACCCAATGAGGCCTGAATAACTTAATAATAGCCTTCCTTGTGATCTTTAAAGACCCACTACACGTGAAGGGCCTTGGTTTTGTATGGCACATTTGCCAAAATTGAGTTTTATCTTGCCAGTTTCTAGTCCACTTCACCTCTAACTAAAACCCTAACCACCCTGGGGTTCTATTCCCAATCCCTTAGACCAAATCCTAGTTGCTTCCACAAACAAAGAGGTCACAAAATCAAAAACCATTCAAAGAGATGTCAAGATATGTTAAGGCAACAAGCATGAAAAACAAACACAATATATATTAGGGTTAGAAGAAAAGCGACAAAATAAAGAGTGCACGATCCGCAATGAAAGATACCTTTGCCTCAACATGTTTCCACTTGACATAAAGCTTATGCTTTTCCCCCCAACCATTTGTCAATGGAAGGTTGATAATGTTATCCTCAGCCTGAGAAAAGGACAAAAAAAACAGAGATAGATAATAACTAAGTTCACAGTAGCAAGATTTTTTTTTTTGAATGTTAACCTTGAATGTCATGGACAATTAGGAATGCCTATTTTGTTAGGCTAGCTTTCCCCACCTAACCTCACCCTTCATGTTGTCTTATATATCTTTACATACAACTTTCATTGGTCACTAAACAAAATAGTTTCTCCCTATTGACCACCTGCTCAGCAAGTGAGTCGGCCAAACAGTTTGCTGATCTAGGTACCCAAACAACCAGTTTCCTTGCTTATTGGTTAATTTCCCTTAGAGCATGTCTATTTTGTTTCCGCATTCCTTGGCTGCCTTCCTCTAACTAGCCTACCAGAGTCTTGGATTCTCCTTCCACTAGTAAGTTTCTTGTGTTTAGCCCCTGATACTTTGCAAATGGAAATTGATTATAGACAACATCAAACAACATGGTCTGATACTCTGATCAAACCTGTTCCAGATATGCACTTGGCTAATTCCCAATCCAGGCCTCACAAAATATAAGACAGGAACAGGAGGGTGTAACTGGGCTGTAGAATAATTAGCCAACAATATCCAGGTCAGGTCAGGTTCCAAATGAGAATGACAAGTGAAACCCATTTACTAACTGGTTCAAGATAGAATAATGAAGCATATTTAAAAGTTGACCACATGAAGAATGCTGAAGCATAGAATGGGTGACTCATTTACTGTGCAACGGTGTGCAAATGCAACCCATGACCCAGTCACCGGGTCAAATGGGTGAATGGTTCAACCGCCCATGTAGGATGTTTTTTACCAGGCCAATGGTTTTTTACCAAAGTTTGGGTTTTAGGAGAACTGCACCCGGAATCATGGCGAGATGACAGTTCGAGTGGTTCAACCAGCTGGGTCAACAGCGTGTTGAAAACATTGAAATGATGACAATTAATATAACATACCTGATGCCAATACTTAACCATCTCACATGCAAGCCTTCGTTTCACTGCTATTGTAGCTTTGGTACTATCAATTGCCATTCCTAGTTGAATATCCACACCCTGTTTCATACAAGAGAAAAACATTAGAGATTACAAACACAATGGTTTACACAGCATTTTCTGAGAGGCTAGATATATCTACCTACCCCACTTGCATGATATGATCATTTCCCATGTTACAGTCATGGTTCTGAAAGACAGTGAGACATATAAATCGAGGTGAGGCAAAGCCAAAACACCCTGTAGATGAAGCAAGAGGATTACACCTCAGATTTTGAGGAGTATGTGTCACAACCTCATGCCTCAAATTGGTGAAGCATATGCCTCATATGAGCAGCATTAAATTGAAAAGAAAAAAATAAAAAATATATATTGATAAAAATACTTTCTAAATCTCAAAAAAAAAATCATTGTTTGGTTTGTTACAATAAGCAATTTAGAATTAAAAATCTCTAATAATATCTTTTTTATCAGTAACAACCAAATTTTATTGAAGCTATTAAACACAATTTACAAATTTACAAAAGATGGTAGACTAGCATGAACTATCAACCCCAATAAATCTGACATTAGGTTCCCCTTGGAACCTCTCCCCAAAACAGATATGCTCTGTTCAAAAAAAAATCTCTAATAATATTTCCCTTAACCCAAAAACATATTTTCTCTTATTTGTTAAATATAATAATCCTAATGTGCCACTTCATGCCTCAATTTACCAAATTGAGAATATTATTTCCATTTATATGTTTACCCATGACTCATGACAATGGAACCAACCAACCGTAATGCCCTTTCCAATGCAGTCACCTTTTTAGCATCCAATCTCTTGAGATATAGCACAAGACCAAGATGTCTCCCTAGCAATATTGTGTATAAAGAAATACAGACATTCTTTATTACCTAAACAATCTCATCATGTCAATCCATCTCTAACTTTAAGCCTAGAAATGTGGTTTCTTATCCTCCTAACTTTGATTTTTGCCTTCAATGAAATCTCTTTCCCATGTATTATATCTGATATTTCTTTTGACACCTTCCCTTTCTAACTCAACCTCTTTATTAAGCTGATCTAATTCCTCCAATCTGTGAAGCCATGCCAGTTTTCTTCTATGTTTCCAAATGAGGTTCTATTCCACACTGTCAATCTTTTATTTTAATTCTTGCAATTCTATTATCAACAAAACATTTATCCCTTTCTTCCTCTTTAATTTCCTTCCACCAATTATCTACCATGTAAATGAAACCTAGACGTTCAAGCCACATGCAAAATGTGTTAGATAGTGTATGCCCTTAGCTCCAATCAAATTGATGTACAGATAGATTTATTGTAAATGAATAAAAGTACATTATTGTTTCATGTTGATATTGGTATATTTCTGTGCAATTACCCCTTAAACTGGACACTTATGAGACTTGTGTTAATTTAGAATGTTCTCAGTCGTTGAATAGACTTGGGGAGCTTATCCTGCCAAGACTTACACTGATGTACTACCAAAGAAGTTGGAGCAACTTGTCTCAGCTGCTAGGGTTAGACCCGAAGCACAGGTAATGTGTGTTTGGATGTAACACTGAACCTTGACCATTTTCCAGTTATGCCCTAGACCTTGGGGATTGATGGGCAAAATTGAAAAGTTACACATAACCCCTACACTTGATTATGGTACTGCATTAGGTGTTGGATTGGGTTGTCTTTAATATGCCAATCAGTGAGATCCATCAAGGGTCAAAACCTGAGTATGTTGGGGCAGTCAGAGAATTCATTTGAGTGGGTGATCATAGTGATAGGATCGGCGGACAAAGTGAATGATAGGGCTTACACTCTCTCTGATGGAAACCTAAACTGACGACAGTGGATTTCAACTATGTTTGAGATTTGGTTTTGCAAAATATAGTTATATGATATATATTATGTTTTATGAAAAATGTTTGCAAAAGGTTTTAATTCCCGGGATCCATCCGAGCAAAGAGTGCAGTGAATTCGGCCAAGCCTTTTCACAAAGGTTGGGCCAAACCCATGTGGACTTATGTGAGGTTATTGTGGGGTCTCATGCCATAAAAATCAGACCTAAATTGGCCATGCAACATCTTGGGTCATGAACCTTTGAAGGAAATGGGCCTAAGGCCCATAATTAATAAGACTAAGTAAGCTGTCACATGACAAGCTTTGGGTCAAATCCGAGTTTGGAAATGGGTATGAAGCACTCATCCTCTTAAGAGAATAAAGCTTATCTCTTAATAGAGTCCAGATCCAAATTAGATGTGGATAATCTCCTAATTTGATTAGGAGAATGCTCTATAAGGAGATAAACGAAGAAGATGGTGAACCAGATAAGAAAACCACTCTCTTGTTCTCTCTTCTTCTCTTTTTGTCTTCCAAGAAACCCTATCACGACCTAGGCTTTTGCAAGAAAAATTCAGAGATCAGTTTTCTTCTGATTTTTGCAAGAAAAATTCAGAGGAATTTCAGGCTCACCTTCCCCAATTCAGTCCAAACAGTTTAGTTGCAGTTTTGTTGAAAATTGTGTTGTTGAATCAGCTTCACCTATACACTGTACCATCTTCAGTGGAGGCTGGTCTTAGGACTGATTTGGGCGTGAACTTCCACCTTGGGATCTGCATTTGTGGTATCCATATATGATACACGTCTCCCTCTTTGTTTGATTTCAAATTTGGTCCGGTTCAGTGCAAAAACGGTCCTGAAAAACGTAGTTTTTCAAAACATAGGGAATTTGATTCCTAAAAGGATTAGGAATTTTTTGAAATTTCACCGAACCATCTAGCATGGTTTGGCCACCCATATGATGGATCCTAACCCTTCCAACAAAATGAACTCCATCTCTCTCCAACTTCAAATTCCCTAAGAATAACCAGATCAAACTTTGAACTCACCAACAATTATTTAATAAAATTATGTTGAAGCTTTTTCTTAGGACATTGCATGCACTTTATATATTAAGAGATATTGTCCAAACAAAATATTTTAGCCTATGAAGAGAAAAAGACTTCCAATCCTCTTCAAGGAAAACCATTATCTAACTTTGATGTCATTTAGGGCTGAAATAATATGATTTTACAGAAAGTGTAGAAAAAAGCTATCATGAACACTAAAATTTCTTTGTAAAGTCCCTAAATAGGGAAAATACTTGAGTGATAACACCTTCAAATAACCATTTCCTACCAGAATTGAATATTCAGGACCACCTTTTCCAGTGCTGCAACTAAAACCAAATGATGCCAAACATCACTTTAAGGAGCATGTACAAAGATGTATGAAAACAACTTCAGAACTTTTCAAAATGGTTCTAAAAACCCAGATAATTCTACGAAAATAGTGATGAGAAGTTATGCCTTTTTAATTTTTGCTTTCACAAAAAGTATACTTATTATAAACTGATCATCATTAATTGCTTTTCTTGTATACTCTGTAGTGAGGGGACAAAAAGGCCCAAGTACAGTATATATTTTTCATGTCAACTTGGTTAGATCAAACTAGGAGATAACTTGTTATTGTCTACAATGACTCGATATGTTACTTAGAAAAAGATGAGTATCTCCACTATGCATTGATGCAATTTGTCTCAGATGTACTAGAATTTCAAGTACAAAACTGCTTTTGTGCTTGTCCTATACCAGGTATGCCTAAGCTTGTCCTACTTTCATTGAAATATCAGATTAAAACTACTATAATATCCCCGTCATCAAAACTTCTTCTTTAAGAAGTAACCATTATTAAGTTCTAGGTTATCCTATCTCATTGTACTAAATATTATCAAGCAACAACAAGAACATGATATGCATTCTTAAGTATATTGTTTTCAAGTATGGTGAACAAAAAAGCATGCCTGTGTAAATTATTAGAACCTAAGAATTCAGCAACGCAATCAAGTAGGTGGAAGTATGAATATTAGACACAAGATGGCATAGATTGGAAAGTTTCAACAACAAGGGATGCAAAGGAATAAGGCAATACCTGACCCAATGCTTGCATGCATAGAGCTTGCAGTGTTCCTTCTCTAAGGTCTACAGGAAGAACTCTCCTACATTTACATAAGTTGTCACAGTAGTTAGGGTATCAATGTGAACCATGTTAACAGTCATCACGGTGTACAGAAACCCGAAGAAACATCACAACATCAGTTCTATTCCAATAAGAACTAAAAAAAGAAAGTAACAGCAACAATGGCAACTAACCTAAGTTCAGGGGGCAATTGGGGGATAACGTGATTGAGAGCACAATCTAAAAATCCCGCTGCCTTCAAGAAAACATCTATAGAAGTACGTCTGCTCTCTGCTACAAAAGAACACAAGGAATACTGTTAACGGAACCAATAGAATTAAACAAAGCCAAATGAAGTGCAAAGCTAGGAAATTTGAAGGTTACCTAAAAGTATAATCATAGGTTCCTAAATCCCAAGAAGTAAAAACAGATAATACACAGACCATAAAATCCATGGTTAAGAGGTGGTTAAGAGGGCAACTTTTTATTGATCAAAAAGTTGAACCCCATAGTAGAAATCAAACACTCATGTCGCACCCCAACTTTTCATTGATCAAAAAAAAAAAATCAAACAGAGTTGAACACCTATCCAGAGGTCAACCACCACCAGACTCTCGACCACCAGAAAATATTAGTAGCTTCATAAGCCCAAACGGAAACACTTATTCAGTTGAGAGTTTCACTTGTAAGTGGTAAAGCATGAAACTGCACCAGAAGACAATATAATGATTGCATGCACCTAAACCAACTTTTGAGATTTTTAGCCGCCCTCTTGTTGTGTGAAATTTAGAGAGCTTCCGGCTACATTGTGACAAAAAATACAAGGATACCATAGTTGCACATAACGTAAGTAGAAACTGTATGCTGATGAAAAAATAAAAATATTTGGCTGCCCATCTGGTTAATTAACTATGAATCCACCCGACCCAAAAAGAAAGTTGCAAAATTCAAAATCCTACCTAAGCAAAACAATAATATCCTAGTTGAAAGTAAATAAAATAATGAAAAGATATAACACAGAGGGATATTTGCATTGAAGAAAGAGAATTTTAAGAGGCAGTGGACCATGTGTCCAATTTCTTCATAGAAAAAATGGGAATTAAAATGCAATACTCAGCCTATCTAGACTAGAGTATCTTTTCAACCATCCTATTTGCAAATGCTTATGAAGGCCGGTCCCCACAACTTTACTGATATACAGAAATAGATGAAAAGATGTGGTAATTTGTCCAACCAGGAATGTGGGCCCAATCAGCTGTTGGCCTAGGAGATGTTCAAGGCAATAGCCATCAAATGGTAGGTCTCACATTCCCAGCATCCAGTTATGCATACACACATAGAATGGAGCCACAGAACATGGGTCCTCACCCTGAAGCAACCGTGAGCATTCTTCTATGGACAGAGTAGGGAGTTTCCAATAAATCTACTGTCAGGAAAATGTAAATTGGCAAATGGGACAGAACTAGGTTCTAGCATCAGTCTTCCACAAAAGTAATGGGAGCTAACAAGCCAGTAGTTCAGGTTCATTGAAACTTGAAAGGAAAAATTAATTCAATGAATAAATTCATAGCATGTATTTTCAGATACCAGTCTAATAAGCATAACAAATTTATAGATAGATGGTCAGGCAGTAAATACACACCTTCCGATACCTTTGGCTGATAACCATCAGTAGATGCTTTAGGAAGAAGCAATAAATTGGCCTGTGATAACGATAGCATGGCCATCAAATGTAAAACTGACAGTACCTCATACCATGCATTGGGCATGGCTGTTTCCTGGAAAAATAAATAAATAAATGGTTAGTATCACATAAAGAAATCGAAAGGAAAAGAACTCAAAAAACATATTGATCCATGAATCCCCACCTCTGCATCATCCTCCTGATTAACCCAAGTAAATTGTACTTTATGTTGTAACTGGTTTCCTGCACAGTACAATGACTCTCAGGACTTCAATCAAACAGAATAAATGTTATCAATAGTCTTACAATATAATCCATAGTATTATAAAGGATTGGACTTTGAGTTTTGATTTACCATCTTTAACTAGTCCTAATAGAACTGGTAAGTAATCTTCAAGAGCCTGTTGAAGATCAGCCAATGTCGAACCTCCTAACAAAAAATCCATCATGTGGGTAATTTTTTTTTTGAAGATAAAATAAAAGAATTTTATTAAAAAAGGCAGATACAAGGAAGGTAATAAACAATCACGCAAGAGGAAACAAACAAACCCAGAAATACCAAGCGAAGAAACCCCAAACCCCAAAAAAAACCATGTGAGAAATATTTTCTTTTGCACCCATAACCAAAATAAATTGTGGCTTCTAAAGAATTCAACAAACCATGTCGTGTGGCTGTTCTTCTTCTTGTTTTTGTAGCTGTTGGTGCTTCTTGGCCAACCATGACAACTATTCTAGTTCTAAGAGCAGAGAGACGTTCAACTAGGCCCTTGGACAGGATATCACCAAGTGGCTGAGAGAAGTCTAGAGGTTTAGGAATTCGTAATCCAGGAACAAACACAGCCACCTCCCCTACATTTCCTGGCCTTCTTCTATTTCCTCCAGAATCTTTTGGTGTTGATACAAGGCATCCCATATCCTGGAATTTATTTCTGCCAGAAAAATTTAACTTATCAAAATCAAGCAAAACAATTTGAACTTATCAGAGACAAAAAAACAAAATTGAGTCCTAATAGGTTCGATCAAATGCATCAGAATATTTAAAGCAAAAAATATGAATAACCTTGCTCACATGATTTAATGGAAACCAAAGAACAAAATTCTAGTATATAATTCGCAAGAGGAGACGATGGGGGAAGAAAATTTTGAAATCCAAAATCTCCAAAGTAAGAGGAAGAAAACAACGCTCACAAGTAAAGTAGAAGACTTTACAGTCAAACAAGACACGAAGAGGATTAATTAATTGCCAACCAACAGGGCAGTATGCTACTCACGGGTGAGATTGTATAGGACGTTACTAGAACTCTCTAAAACAGTTTTAAAATAAATAACGGAATATAGTCAATTTTCTCTTTTGGGTGTTGTTCGTTTTATTTAACCTGCATATGAGAACTCTTTCCTTATAAATTTTGAAGCATATACATCAAAGATAGATCTTCTCACCTGTCTCAAAAGGTTAAGTCAAACGCTATAACGTCTCTCAATCTCTGCACAAATAGTTCATGAGTGTGAGAGAGAGAGAGAGAGAGAATGAAAACAACTGAATCACATAAAACCCGTGACAGAGATGAACTTTTCTTTCCGTATTACAATTTAGCTTCTCAAATTTACGGTTTCGTTGCCTTCTGGCGATCAAAGAGAAATACAGGTAAATTGCATACTTTAAAGCTACAAACATCTCATGCGTCTAAGAACAGAACACTAAAGCTCGAAAGAGAAACGTAAAGAAAAAGGAAGTTTTTATCCGCAAAAGGAACCCAAAAAAATAAGACTGACAGATCAGAAGCTTCCTTTTCTTACATAAAAGAATAAGATTCGGAAGTAAAGGGCAGCAAAAAGGAAAATATGAAATTCGCATAAGAATGCGACTTAAGGATTTCCAAACGAATTCAAGTAAGCAACAGAAGAAGAGTAAAGCTTTAGTTTCTTCAATCACAGATCCAGGAAAAAAAAAAGTTTCATCAATGGAATAGAAGATCCTTCAATCTCGAAAAAACACAGATTTCGCAATGCTTGGAACAAAAATAACAGAAACAATTGAATATTTCAGTTCGGTGCAAGTGGAGCAGATTAAACGAAACGTAAAAGAGAGAGAGAGAGAGAATAAAAGAAAGGCGGTCACATGATCCGACAAAACTGAACAACTCAGCTCGAAAACTGAGACTTTACGACTTCAACAACCACAATTCGACAGTAAAACCAAAGTTCTTCCTAATACAGAGAAAACAAAAGTCAAAATTAGCTCAAGCCAGAAAACAGAACGCAGAAACAGATGGATAAATGGATCTGCATATTCGGGGCAAAATAGCAAGGAAACACCGAATTTCTCACTTCTCAGCTACCACCACTCATTTCTCTCTTTTCCTACCAGAAATGAATTTCCTCTGTAGAAATTCTGTCATGAAACCATGTAATACCTTCTCCACTACAAATTCAGAACCAAAAAGGCCCATCAAATCTCCCTTCAACGTGGATGCAACTGTGTATCAAGAATTCACGACCTGCAATCAATCGGGCCACAGAAACGAGCTCCGGAACCCTAGAAACCGAGCACTCGCCACCAGATTCTAAAGAATTCCTCCTGAGAAACCCTAGAAATGGAGATTTTACAGAGCAAACAAACCGGTGGAACAGATTAAAGAAAAATAATGCAGTTGTTCGAAGCTTCGACGTCCGTCTGTCGCCAAAAATGAGCTTTTTGAAGAAGGTGACTGATTTTGTTTTCCCTTTTTTTTTATTTTTTTTGACCTCTTCTGGTGGTGCTTTCAATCTCAGGTTCCGAGATCCCACGAAGCGTCTGTTCTCTATTCACTCCACTGAAAAGGAAAGATCTTCTGCTTAGTGGAATGAATGCTTCCTTCCTTTTTCACTTCCTACCCTCTCGAAATTCGGAAGTCGTAATTAGTAAAACTTGTACTTAGAAAAGTAAAGTAGATAGCTTTCTTATATAAGAACGAGATATTGAACGTTGGATTAGAATCCAGGAAACGCTGCTTTCCGGCGGTGCGGTGGGGTTGTTGTTATCACTTTTCAGAGTTCATTGCGGCGCAGAGGCAGAAGCTTACATGAGCGCGTGCGTTTGAGGGTAGTCAACTTGGTCCAATCATGGGCTGCTTTTATTGGGCCTGTTGGGTTATCTTTTGTGGGGGCCCACTGATGCTTAACTAGCATTTTTCGAATAATTTTATCGGGCATAGCATAATTGGGCTAAACCGGTCCGATGAATCTGATCTGATCTGGCAGTTGGCTTATCGCTTTATAGAAATTTGAACGATTAGAAGGGGGATTACTTTTTGTACACTTTTTTCTCCAATATCTCGTTACACTCATCAAAATAACCTTTCGTACATGGGATGGAACAAGATTGGAATGAAGCGGAGGAGAGAAAGGTGAACGCAAGGTGCCAACTGGCTAGTTGGTATTTGGTTAGTAATTCGAATCAGCTGAATGCTGTGGAAACGGGTGTGGAGCGTTCTTATCTGATTGTAGCTAAGACTTAGAATCGAATTCCACCGACATCGAGCAACTATAGCTTAAAGTAGTGGATGTGAAACCAATAATAATGTTAAAATTACATGGAATTCGCATTTTTAATGGTAGGGTCATAAATTTATTACAGACATAAAACATTATGATTGATTCTACAGCCGGCTGAACAATCATGGCGTTCAGCTAATCCCAATTAACCAATATGGCCTTATGGGAGGATGGGCTACTCCATTGTATAGGTACTTGGGCCTTGATTCGAATTTGGGATCTAATGAGCTGTATCAAATTTGACTCTGATTTATTTTTAAATAAAAAATATTTTTAAATTTATGTATATATATAATAAATTAATAAAATATTAAATATTTAATTTATATGATAGAAATTTTATATATCTATACGACTATACCACTGCAAAAAGTACAAAAAGCCTCAAGAATATTTTTACAAATTTTTGAGGATAAAATTTACTCTTTCATATTTAAATTTATTGATAAAAACTGAAGGCAAATAAGATATTCAGTTATTAACATTAAATGAGTTGGAAAGAGATAATTTTAAGATATTCAATGGATTCAGTTCCCTCTCATTAAATCCAACGTTTAAGATATTAACTTGCATTCACCTTCATTTAATTATACATTTAAGACATTTTTGTTTCTTCTCAACCATAAATTACATTAATTAAATCCATACATAATAAATTAATAATTTCAATAACATAAAAAAAGGGTAAATTACAAAGACCCCTATACTATGAGGTCTATGACAAAGACCCCTCTGTACTTTATTTTGTGACAAAACCCCCCCTGTACTATGACCGTGAGACAAAGACCCCTTTCCATTAGCTTTGCATTGAAATCTGCGGTTACAATATTTTTTAATCCTCGTACTACTCTTGTTCCCCGACCTCACAAATAACACCGTGACGGTAGCTGTGGCAGATTTCGGAAGTCCTCCCTCTCTTTCTCTCCCCACCAAGCTTACTGAGTTCCCCTATTCCACCACCAGATGAGGCAGCAAGGGCTGCAGATACAATCGAACATCCCCCTAAACCTCCAGCGGCCGCCACCACCAATGATGGCGAAGTTGCTTTCCTGCGTCTGCAACAACAACTTGGCTCTCTCGATGGGGGCTACAATCGTGTGCACAACTCCCCCCATCACCGCTCCCACCATCAGATCCTTATGGAAGTTAGCCAACCACATCCATGAGCTTGATCCTTTATTCTTCTTTATAACAACTCCACTCAACTTCACAAGAACAGAAAAGAAACAAAAAGAGGCAAATAGCTATCGAACGACAAGATCCAACAGCCAAGAATAATGCTTTCACACATAGCCACCATTAACGCGAATGGTCTGCCCATTAACCCACTCGCCGCCATCAGTAGCCAAGAACCCAACAAGAGGGGCCGCGTCTTGGGTCTCACCGAGTCGACTCAGAGAGAACTCCTCGATCACCTTCCTCACATGCTCCTCCCCCTAGCCAGCAAAGAACATATCAGTTGCTATGGGTCCCGGCGCCACACAGTTGGCAGTGATCCTCGTCCCCTTGAGCTCCTTCGCCAATATCCTCACCATCATCTCCATCGTCGCCTTGGATGCCGCGTAAGCTCCAAACCCCGGCTTGAGCCCGCCTACCATTGAGGAGGAAATCAATATGATCCGTCCTCCACCTCCACGTTTCAAGCGATTGGCTGCCTCCCTACAGCATAAGAACGCTCCTCTTGTGTTGACGCTGAAGATAGCGTCGAAATCCTCCACAGTGGTATTTTCTATGGTTGGATATTTGGGGTCAATCACCCCAGCTGAGTTGACGAGGGTATGGGGCTCTGCGCCGAATGCTTGCTCGGCCTAATCAAAGAGGCTTTTTACTGGGGCAGGATTAGAGACGTCGTCCTTGACCGCAATGGCTCGTTGAGGGTGAGGGGAAGGGGACGAGGAATTTATCTCGTCGGCTAGGAGATCGGCTTGGGTAGAACTGTTGGCGTAGTTAAGGACGAGATTCGCGCCGAGAGAGGCAAGGTGGAGAGCGATGGCGCGGCCAATTCCGTGCGACGCACCAGTAACAATTGCACCCGGCCTTCAAGAGGGAGGGAGGGAGCTGTATGTGCAACGGTCGGGGAAGATGAACAGTGTATCGAACGACAAGATCCAACAGCCAAGACATGGCCCCATCACTGCTCCCGCCGCTGCTATTCGTATATCGAGAGATCAGGGAAGATGAGAAAATGGTTTCCTTCGTGTTTCCATTTCGGAGAGTTGGGAGAGAGAAAGAATGAGAGAAGACGGTGAGGGGGAAAAGAAGAGAAGAAAAGGAAAACAATATGTTAAATAGGTTTTAAGAGAAAAATGGGCGAAAAAAGAAAATAGAAAAAGTTTAGTGGGGTATTTTGGTAACTTAATGCATTTTGTCATTTAAATTAATGGTCAATGAGGGTCTTGGTCATAGTACAGGGGGGTATTTGTTGCAAAATAAAGTACAAGGGGGTCTTTGTCACAGACCCCATAGTACAGGGGTCTTTGTAATTTACCCTAAAAAAAGCTTATACTTTTAAAATCCAAATGGAAATAATTAAAATAGTGTTTTCATCTAGGTGGTGGTAAAAAATTAAACCATTTTGTGTCAAATGAGTCAATCTATGTTCTCTGTGTTGTCACAATTAAATAATAAAATAAAAAAATAGATAAAATAAAAAAAAATATAGAAGTTAAAAAAAATTGGAAACATTTTCAATATCATATATTCAACATATTAAACAATAATAAGTATGATAAATAATAAACATTTTTATTACAGATGAAAATGTAATGTAAAATTTAAAAAAAATTGAAAATAAAACTATTTTCCTATTCTATTTCATTAAATTCCATATCTTAATGTATATTCTCTCATCATGTCTTATATTTAAGATGTACTTTTTTCATCATTAAATTCTACTAATTAAATCCACTACATTAATTTTAATAGTATGAAAACAGATATTTTGAAAAATAATTTGAAAACAAAATCATTTTATTCTCTCCTAGTGGTGGGTAAGCAATTTAACCATTTGGGGTCAAATGGGTTAATAAATAATGTTATAACTAAATAATAAAAATAAATAAAATATATAGTACAAAAAAAGTAATTGGGCATATCTCCAATATTGAATATTCATTATACTAAACAAAAAATAATTATGAAATGCAAGAAGTATTTTTATTAATGATGAAAATGGAATGACAAACTTAAATTCAACTTAGAAACGAAATGATGCCATAGTCAAATAATAAAACTTTTAAAAGTAGGAAATATAAATAATCATAAAAATAAAAAATTGGGAACATATCAAATGTTATACATTCATTATATTGAACAATAATAAGTACTATACATAAGAAATAATTTTATCAATTATGAAAACGTAATACAAAATTTAACGTAAAATCAAATTATTTTCATTTTTTAGTGGTGGTTTATTGGTTTGGGTCAAATGGATTAATTGATGATATGATAGTTAAATAATAAATCTTTAAAAAATAAAAGTACAAGTAATCAAAATAATATATATAAAAGATTATATATTAGCAATGTCAAACCAAAATTAAGTGTGATAAGTAAAAGATTATTATTTAGATGGTGGCTCAATGATCCAACTTTTCAATGAAACTCGTGATGTTATAATTGAATAATAAATATTAAAAAACAAGATAGAACACAAAAAAAATTAAAAAGTACATAATTTTGTCCAAAACATTTGAAACATTTATAATGTTATATATTCATCATGTTAAATACAAATAATTGTTAAAATAAATTATTTTTATTTACGAAATAAATGGAATAGAAATATTAATAATAATAACAACAATTGTTCTTGTAATTTAAAATTTTCATGTGCATATTTACTGAAAGTATTTAAATTTATTTTTAATCATATTATTACTTTTTAATTTTCAATTTTTATCTTGAATATGATATAATTCAAATAATTAATATGAAGAAAAATTTCTCACATACAAAACATGTGTTTAATTACTAGTTATATTAAAATAATAGAACTCAAATTTAAATTAGAATGAAAAATGTTAAATCCAAATTCGATCTACTATGCGAACGGATCATCCGAACCTGATTCAATGTCGGATCTAGTTTCGGTCCGTTGACAGACCTTCATCTCTGCATAATTTTTGCTTTGAGGAAATCTCGTCTCTTTTCTACAAGCGCCTCATGAATCATGATTGATGATTACTAAGGGCTGCCAAGTGTCCATGGATCTTAGGCTGGCCTGGTCTATTTGGTAAATCTACATTTCTTTATACAGAATAGTCTACAGCATCCGACTAAACCAGGAGTTGACCTATAAAAAGCACAGCAAAACATTCAATTTTGAAACATAAAAAAATAAAATTAGTCAAACATGTGCCATTCAG